CATCCCCGCAGCTGCCGTGGTAGATGAGGCCAACCTGCGCTGAAGACTGATGGTACCGAGGTATGGTATTTGGAGCTGCAACTCGCCGTTCTCGTCATCCACAAATTGACCGTCACATTCTGTTGCCAGCCCATCGGCAGCCTCGCTAGTGGAAGTGTTGTAGCCAATTCCGTTGGCCGATGCTGCTTCGACTTCAAGGAGGTATTGCATGATACGAGAGAGCTTCATCGCGATCGCGTCGCTCCCCATGTTTTCCAGTATCTCGACTGTTCGTTCCATCATCGCACGATCACTTGGACGACTGTGATCGAGGACTGCTTTGTGTTGAGCTATCGATTGGTTCCGCGCGTCGATATGAGCCAGACATAGCACTGTAAGGGCGATGAAAGAAAGGAAGTCTACCCCTCGACAGTAGTAGAGACCAGTATTCCACCTGCGAAATGCAATATATCGAGATATGATTTCGCGAGCTGCATGAATAGCCGTGGCTTTGCTGTGGTCGCACATGCTGTTTCCTGACGAGCGAAGAACGTACGGTAGATGCAACCGTATGACCAGATGGAAGTGAGAAAACTGATACATTGTACGCGCGATCTCTGGCAGAGGGTCCGGCGCTGTCAAGTCATTGGCATCGAAGTCCGGAACTAGCCACCACTGTGATGGCATGAGTGCAGCCGCCTCCTTCAGCATCTCGTCAATCCCTCGGACATTCTCGGTTTCCTGTTCGCCGGGCTCTTTCACTCGGCGTGATAATATGCGATCCGCGATTATGCATTGCATACGAGAAATTCGATCAAGCGGATGACACGACGCCATTGCTTCAGCATCAAATCCGCGTGTCTGTAATGAAGACTGCGGCAGACCCAAAGTCAACGACAAATAGCGATCCATCTCGATAATGCGACAACAAAACTGATCTGGATCAAGTCCTGACCTCGTTTCCGGGACCAGAACCTTGAAAGAAGACAGCTTCGAGCTGCTTCGATGCAGCCCCAACATCTGCGCAACAGCAGATGCCCGACGTGCAGTCATCCATGCGCGATGTAGGTTACCAGCATAATTATGGATCATAGCTTCTATCATGATACATTCGATGCCTTCTGCAGAGGCAGTTAACTCGTCGTTGGAAGTCACGAATTTCACTGCTGTATCCATTGCCCGAGACATGACTTTGTTGTAATGGGCGCGCTGATGCATTGGTATTTGTCCTGCCGATAGCGCGCCCTGTAAGAGACTGCTCAACAGAAGGAGGTTCCGCGCTAGGAGCGCAGGATGTGCTCCTGGTGGTGGTAATTGTAACATTTCCCGCGGGCTCTTCGGTACCTGATTCATGACTTTGGTCGAAGATGAGGTTAATTTGATGTGCAAATGTGTTGAGAGGCCGACTGGGAGCTTGCAGATGTAATCGAGATTTTGCTTAGTAGGCCATGCTGCAACGAGATCTCGAGATATGCCGGTGTATCTGCTACTAAGTGATTCTGAAGCTTGCGATAGGCTCGTGGGTGTTGATGAAGCTTCTGGAGAGGTGGATGGAGTAATGTTGATGCTCCTCGAATAGTCCTTGTAGACGTCAGGTCTGGCCAAAGACGAATCTTTAAAACGATATGCGTACCACTTCATCACCCCAGCCGCTCGTTACCGCAGTCTCTGGGCGGCTTTCTAGTGTATTGCGACCCGCGTAGGTCGTGGTATTGGCCAGACGCTCAAGCAGATTCTCGACCCGGCTCAAACGACCCTCCACTCCATCATCAGCCGCTTTTGTACTCAAAGCTGGTACATCCGGATACTCCTGACTGATACATGTCGTTCTTCGTCGCACACAATTCTCGCACGTAGTTTTTGAAGGTGCCCAGATGCATCGGACCTTTCGTTTCTTGCATTCCCAGCAACTCTGAGTACCTTTGCGCACCTTTCTTCGTTTCGCCGCTCTTTCACCCTCAAGGTTATTTTGCGATGGCATACTAGTTCGATGAGGTGGTATGTTTTTTAAGAAGACGAAGGCATGCTTGTCCTGAGTTTAGGGAGGTTTGGCAGGGTAGTAGATCTCGTCCGCCGAGCCGGCGGACGAAAGAGCTTCCATCAATTTACAACTACACTTGCGCTAGCGCATCACCGCGGATACCCGCCGGAAGACGCGCTCGATCATGCTATCCCATCACGGCTTACCATCCCATGCCTTCTTCAAAAAAACTTTTGCATCCGTGAACTCGTAATCAGGCAACAACCGATTCCACTCATCGCCTACATCGAAAGCTCCAGCTCCTATAGCCAGCGAAATACCACCGACCATCTTTTTCGATAATGTCTCAACAAATTCTAGTGGAATGGAAGGGTGGTCAAGTCTGGGAAGCCAGGACGCCGTCCAAGTTCCCTTCTCCAAGTCTTCGTTCGGAATCCTTTCGATGGTAAAGGGCCCACCTGAACCACCTTGATTAGTGAACGGAACAACGACAGAAGAGCTTGCGTGAATGGAAAGAGGGTAGGGAGACCAACCGCGTATCTCCTCCCCAAGAGCAAGGAATTCCTTGATAGAGATTCGAGACCCCCGGATTCCACCCGTGACTGGCCACTCGCCTTGATAGTCGACCGCGAGCGCAACCACATTCGCTAGGTCTTTCACTGTGGTAAGGGTGAGATAGTCACTCTCGGCTCCCTCTCGTATAACGGCCCGACGGTTTTCAAAATCGAACTGCGTTTCAATTGCCTTGACATGCTTGGTCGATGTGTACGGAAGAGTAAAGTAGTTGGTGAAGAGGCCCGGCTGAAAGAGACAGTACTCCAAGACTTTCTTGTCCTTGTTGAGCTCTGCTAGGTATTGGCGTGTGTGTCTTTTGAAAGTGTACCAGTCCATGTGGTCTAGGCCAACTCTGATGGAATGTCAGTACGCAAAGAGCGAGACGAGAGAACGGGGGTGACTTACGAGACCCACTCGCTGGGTGCGAATCGTTTTACACCAGCTTTGACTGCCGCATCGATGAGATTCTTCTGACCAGAAATACCTTGTTGTTGGTCATGCGGGGCGATGAACGATAACACCACGTCTACACCTTGCAGATGACCGGCCAATTCGTCCACATCCTCATAGGTGGATTTAGCCCATTTAACGGACGAATCCGTGGTCTCAGCTCGGACGTCCTGAGGGAGACATTAGCATTTTTTGACAGAAGTGACACAAGTGGATGCTGACCTTGCGGGTGAAGATCAAGATCTCATGTTTTTTACTAGCGGTGAGAACATCGACAATTTCTTGCCCGACGTCTGTGAAGATATTAGGCGCCGTTCAGATTGTGTAGGGTGGCAGGAACGTACTTCCAGTACCACCTGCGATTGCGATCTTGACCATGCTGGGCGATGAGTCTGCGTTTTTTTGATCGGACAGTTTTAGAAAGAAGAGGTTGTGTAGGAAGAAGTATTGAACCTGGATGCTCTGCTGAGTGCCTCGATGATTTACTTCGAAGTACACGTCGTTTCTTATATCTGAACTACAACCGAATTCGGCCGAATATTGTAGTGCATTTATTTCCACCGAGTTTCGGTGTAGCATTTTGAACAAGATCAGTGATTACTAGACGCTTACCTTTACTAATCAGCATACTATTTGTGAGCTACGATAGCGCTCCTCCTCTGCTATGTTGTCACAGCAAGCCTTGTGACAAGTATTGGCTAGACTGGGTTCTATCATGACGATTTGGAAGAAAGCTTTAATCGTGGTAAGGAACTGCGCGTCTATAACGTTTGCTTGTTCCTTGCTTAATCTGCTTGTTAAGCATTAAATAGCGCCGAGATTCCTTCTCCTGATCGCGCGTTGCATTGAACAACGGCACTAGGTACCACATTGATCAGCCGTGACGCGAAGTCCTATTATAAATAGAGATGTGAATGCATGATACAAACTGAGAGCTGTAATCAAGTCTGACAGAAAGCATGACGTAGGACATATGAAAGAGTCTCACTATCCATCTGTTTCATCGTTATTGAAGTGGTAGGTAACGCGCACGGACCACTCGACATGGTCAAAAATCAAAATCATCCCATCTCACCACCCGCAGCAGCACAACGTGACTAGGACAACGACGACGACAGCAGCAAAAAGAATTGGACTTGCAGGGAATCGAACCCTGGACCACTCCCATGTTCCACGAGGGTTCACTTGCTGTGAAACCCAGGTGCTAAGGGAGTATTATACCACTAAACCACAAGCCCGAATTTGCTGATGGAGAAAAGAATGGATCAAACGTTTATAACTCAGGTCTACCACTCGCCGTTTACCATCTGAAGCTGCGGCGCGGAAGAAATCAGTGGTTGGAGTGGGACGAAGAGGGGCATTTCACACCAAATGTGCACAGACCTAGACGAGCCTTTCCTCATGCTCCATGCTCCGGTCTGGCTCGGCGATGGGAGCGTCGACGATGTCCTTATTGTGAAAAAGGGCCACACTTGAAATGAGATAAACCAACTGAGTTTGATGACTTGAGCGTTGGACAAGCCAATATATCAGTGCCGCCTTGCTCGGTAGTCGGGCGATCGCTATCCAAATCCTGGGCGACGGCTGCCGGGTTCTGGCCGGGTAGAAATGCTGCCCCACTGTCATCTCTAGAGGGTTGAACACGACGCGTGCATGTCGCAATGCTTCGATGCAATTTATGCGTAGAATGCGACTACTGCATTGGTGTATATACGTACTTCTTAGCAACGATGGCATTGGCTTAATCCTTCGTGTTGTATGCAGCTGGATTACGTGAGAAGCTGTTTTGGAGGTACAACGCTCCTTGTAGTAGTTCAGTGCGATCAGTAGTGTCGATCTCGATGGTGAGTGGTTGCGGGAGGAACGCGGGCAGTAGGGGACCTCGGGGACGTCAGGTGGACTAGCGTACCAGTAGCTGGACTTCACCTCGACTTTGGAAATCTCAAGCTTTGAAAACACGTATCACGATATCGCGAGGAGTGGTTGTGCTTGTTCCCAGTGCAAACATTTCGCATATATACATACACTCGTGTACTCAATCGAGAGGTTCTGGCAAGACACAAACAACTTCCTCATCCATATCATCTCCAATCGTCTGCCTCACCTCCATATTTTCTAGATCAACATCATCAACATCTGGCTCTTCACCTAAGCCATCGACTTCTACCTCGTACTTTTCCTCCGCCTTCCTCTTGACCTCAGTATCGAACAAGGCACCCTTGTCATACAGCTTATCCGACTTGACTCCGCCTTTCCTTCGTACCTTGATCTCACGAATCCTGTACGCAAAGACGAAGTCATCTGCTGTTCGACTCGATTCCTTGGTCTCAGCTTTGCGTTTCCAATTCCCTTCTGGACCGAACGAAAGGCCACTGGGTACACCAGCCCACGCCGCCGCATCAACACCAGCATGAACGTAAAGTCCTTTCTCCTGGAGTCTCTGGCTTGAAATATCTGCCGACGACGCGATCATAACACCGGTGATAATGTAGACCTTCTCGCGAAAACGGTTTTCAGTGATATACCTCCTCACGTCTTCATGGCCCACCACTTGTTCCAGAAAAGTGCGACTGGGTAAAAATGACTGCGTCGTCATTGTATCCACTTTCCAGCTTTGGTGGTGAGATTTGTCCAAGCCCACACTGACATCTGCACCAATTCCAAGGACGCATTCTAGAAAGGACGTCCAGACACCGAAGTGAGATGATGACTGTTTGGCGTGTGAGCCACTCCAGTTGTATTCTGTAAACTTGCTGGTATCAGACTTTGGAGGTGGCGGAGGTAGATATAGCGGCTCGTCGGGTTGAGTTGGTGAGGGTATGATGGCCCCCAGGCGTATGGGTCCATCTGGTGGGCTTGGACGCCGTGGTGCGAGGAAGTAAGTGGGTTTGGATGTAACCATACTTTGTGCAATATTTTAGTAAGACAGTCGGGAGATGTGATGGCGCTGCGTGGTAGGCCGAATAGTTATCGAGGACACCAGGTGTCATATATATTTAGCGCTAGTTGCAGATATTCCGGGTATGAGTCGAAGCATGCATATCAATGCAGGATTACGTGTGGATGCATGATCCGTGTGGCTGAGTAATGCAGGTAGGCGTCAAACCCACTTCTTGGCGGCAAAAGTAGTCGGCTTACCTCTGCATCGACCAGTGACCAGTCAACGTATACGAGATCAGCATCAAGACGTTTGAGACAGACATCTGGCTAATCATACTTTCATGTACAAGAAGGCCGGTATACCTTGTGTACGGTGGGAATGCTATCATGGCTTAGCGTTTGTGATACCACGATCAAGGGTGGGAAATATACTCTCTCCCTATGACCGCCGCTGGAACTAGACTCTGAATCAAGCTCTACTCTATCATGCCTCCCAGGGCGCTCTGGTCCTCGACTCCTCCGGAGTCCCAACGCATGTTTCCCATCGTGCACTGTAGCAAACGCTGTTGGTTTGCGTGTCGGCTTAGAATGCCGGGATGTTTCGTGAGGAGTCTGAGAATGTCCCTGGGGAGCTGCTTGAGGTTCTACAAACTGATAGGTTGGTTGAGGAGCTTGAGGACCAGGATAATTTGTCTGATTATGTTGTGCAGGAGCTGCTTGACGACCCACTTGCGGAACTGCTGGCTGGATGGCAGAAGGTGCCTGAGTAGATGCTGGACGAGGTGCTGGGCGAATGGGCAGAGGCGCTACTGGACCTGGGCCACGGGTATCAGGTGGTGGTCTGGTCTCAACAAGAGGTTGTTGTGGAATCGGGAACGGGGCTCTTGGTGACGACGGTGGGCTCTGTGTGGAGGAGCTTTTATCACTACCACTGCGACTACTGCGGCTGCGGCCGCTGCGGCAGCAACAGCACCATATTAGGAGTAGCAGTATCAGTAGACCAAGAAACGCGCCTACAAATGCTCCTCCGATGACTTCGTTAGATGGTCGCTGGAGAGTTGGGCTAACAGGACCAGTCTCTTCGACTGCCGCTGCGGTGGGGGTCCAGCGGCGGACAACAGTTGTGGACCCTTCGAGTACCCGATAGAAGCGCGCTGATAGTTGACTTGAGCGAACCGATGGCTGTGCTGTCATCCGTGACTGTCTCTGAGGCGCAAGCTTGAGGACGGGCATGTGGGAAGCCTAGTTCGCATCGCGGTGAAGGTTGAAGCTACAGAGCCTGCTCAGAATGCAAAGAAGCGCCAGGCGCATGTCGAAATGGGAAGGCTGGCTGCTATCGCTACATGGCTGCGCCGCAAATTACAACGGGGGTGTTCAAACCGGTCGCTACACCCGGCGTTACGCTAGATATCTGCATATCCGCTTGACCCAGGTTGGGTATACAGGCGAGCCATCTTCAGCCCCCACCTCGCCGTAGCCTGAATGACATCGTGAGGCCCGCAACGCGGCTGAGATCGCTTCCATAATCCCAAGGTGCTTCGACTTGGAGAAGAACTGCAGATCTCCTCTTCCTGTTCTGCATGCCAAATTACCGACATTGCGACGACCGCCAGGCTGGGACGGTACAACGAGCCTGAGCTCGCACGGCGACAGGTACTCGTAGACGACACCACTTTTCGCTACTATACCACAAAGTGTCTCCCGATTCGTACTTGAGAACCGATACGGTGCGAAGAAGAAGCGACGAGGACTAGCAAACGTCTTGTCCTCCTGAAATGACGCTTGATGCTCAGATCGAACAACTCATTGCTGAGGCTGAAGGCCTTGAGATCAAAGCGGAGAATGGCGATCAGGCTCTATACTCAGGTGCCATTAGAGCATGGGAGGAAGCGACCCTTATAGCCGAAAATCATTACGGCAATTCCAGTGTGGAGACTTTAAACTTACGGGAATGCCTGGCGGACAGTCTCAGGAATGCTAAGGATTTTCCAAAGGCGATAATGTGCGAGCTGAAAAATGAGCAGTGGACTCTCGAGAACTACAAGCAGTGTCAGAGTCCGTCTCGAGAGATTAGCGCCTTGGCCCGGGATGCTAAAGAAAGGCATCTGAACGCTCAAAGACGACTAGCAAGGACCTATTTAGAGAGTAAACAGTATCCGGAAGCGATCCGATGGTTCCGAGCAGTTGTCAACGATAGAAACATACCAAGGTCAGCTGAGCAAAGATGTAAAGACCGAGTAGATCTTGCTTCGGCTTTGTACACATCTGGTAGGGACCAAGACATCATCCGCGACATCATGGAAGCGATAGACCTGAACATTGAGACCTTGGGAAGAGCAGATGCGAGTCTAGGAAAAGATCATATCGAGTCTGTGAACATCAGATACAACCTAGGCAGGGAGTTGTATGGTCTGAAGAAGTATGGCGACGCACTGGAGAAGTTTCGCGAGGTAGTCGAAATTCTCCAGTTAAAAGACTGCAAAGCCAGATCAGCGCCTAAATATCAAGATTATCTCGAAGATGCAGAGTTCTCGCTTAAGAACTGCAAGACCAAAATCGCTCGACAAGAAAAGGCAAGACGCCGGATTGCCTCAGAGAAAGAAGAGGAGCTCAAGATACAGAAAGCTGAACAGAAGCGAGCTCAAGAGGCTGTTGCCCAACAAGAAGAGGTTGCTAGATATGTGCGATTGCGAATAGCGGAAGAAGAAAAACGGAAACAGGACGAAGATGCAAAGAAGCAGACGCGAGCGAGGGAGATGATTGTCCAGCAAGAAGAAGAAGAAGCAAAGAAGGTTCGAGCGCGCTTAGCAAAAGAAGAGAAGAGAGAACAGGAAGAATCCGCAAGGCGATCAGCTGCAGAAGAGGCGTTAAGAGTACAAAAAGAAGAGGCCAAGCGAATACAAATGCGGGAAGAAAAGAGGGAGAGAAGGAAGCAGAAAGAGTTAGCAAAGCAATCAGCAGAGAAGAAACGAACAGGGGAAGAAGAAGTCATAAGAAGGATAGAGACATTGGAACCAGAGAAGAAAAAGCGTAATGATGGAGATCGGAAGGGATTAGCAGTACAAAAGCAAGTAGAAGAGCAGTCAAAGATTCACCGAGAAGTAGTAAGCACAGAGATCCAAGGACGCGGCCAAGAGGTTGACAAGCAGAAAGTCACTCGCAAGAACAATCGTAGCTCTGGTGGACAGGATACGAAGAGTGAGAATAGTAGCCGGAGGCAGTCCGATGTAGGGAAAGAGACTTCGAGCCCACCAGACTCATCAAGAGCAAGTCCAAGATCCTCCAAGCGAACTCTGAATGGTACGACGAGATCTTCATCGAACGTAGATTCTGTCTCTGACCGTCCGCGTACGAAAGAGACATCGAAGGACTCTTCGGCCCAATCCCCGAAGACTGAGCCACCGACACACCGACGCTCTGCTTCAGCTGTCTCCCAGTCTTCAGGTTTCACCGGATCAAAACTCGGGGAGGCCGACCGGAGGGACTCTACATCTGATCGGCTGCGTGGTAAGGATCTATCCAAGAGGTCACTAGCAACCGAGTCGAAGAATGAGCCACCAACACGCCCGCGTTCAGCCTCTGCCATCATCCACAGTTCGGGCCATACTGAAGAAAGACCAAAAGAGTTTGAACGAAGGAGTTCTAGTCGGAGCGAAGTTGTAGACCGATGCCAAAGCGCTACCCCTGACAAGGGGCGCCGTCCACCCTCTGCCGTCTCCCGCTATTCAGATCGTACTGGAAAGAAAGTGATAGAGCTAGAGAGAGTGAGCTCTACACGGAGGGACAAGGCGCGCACTACATCTCTGGATAGAAAAGGGGAAGGGAAAACTGAAGCGAAGAAAGCGCAAGCACCGTCGAAACCAGAGGGTGCAGTGGTCATACAAGACAAAAAACGTGAACGAGGGGATGATAAGGAGAAGGCAGGCAGTGACAGTTCGACCGCATGGAGACCGCAAACTTCGGACGATTCGGCACGAGCCAGCAGAAGAGGTTCGGTAGATGCAGAAAGAAGAGATTCGGACAGTTTGAAGACACCCGTGGGCCGCAGCAAACGCCGTTCAGAACAGCCTTCACCCACTTCAGAACCAAACGAAAGGCAAGACTCTGAACCGAAGGTCACTTCGAATCGCGCGCGTCCAAGGGATGAGAGGGTATCGCGAACGGTTTCGGCACCCTCAATAACGGTAACAGAGCCTGCGCCTTCGAGACACGCCGCGAAACGGAAGCAAGACCAAGAGCAACCTATTGTCGACGTAGAAGCCCGAATCAAGACCGAAAGAGAAAGGCCTAGGAGCTCACAGTCCAACTATGAGGTAGCTTCTTCAACCTCAGATACCGCAAGAAAACAAAAGTCTCGTTCTGCGTCGACTGGTTCGAGGAAGGCGGAAGAGAAACGCCGGGAACAGGACGAAGATGCAAAGAAGCCGGCGCAAGCGGGAGAAATGATTACCCAGCAAGAGGGGAAAGAAGCAAAGAAGATTTTGGAGCGCCAAGATAAGGAGGAGGAAAGACAACAGGAGGAAGCTGCGGAAGAGGCAAGAAGGAAACAAGAGATAGAGGCTAAGCGAATACACGTGCGCGAAGCAAGAGAAAAGAGAAGGAAAGAGAAAGAGTTAGCTGAGCAAGCAGCAGAAGCCGTGAGAAGAACAGAGGCATCGAAAGTGGAGAAGAACAGGCGTAATGATGAAGCTCAGAAACAAGTTGGGGAGCCATCGAAGAAGTGTCTAGAAGTAGAAAACACGGAGACACAACAACACAACCAAGGAGCCAGCAAGCAGACAGCCACGGGGCCACTGGATGATGAACCAACACAAGACCATGCGAATGTAGGAAGAGCAACAAGACAGAAGCTAGAAGAAGAACCCTCCAGTAAGACGCGAAGCAATACACCGAAGAAGCAGCCTCGAGAATCACTGCCAAGGAAAGACCAAAAGGAAGAACATCCGAAGGCTGAAGATGAGAACCTCAATAAGACGTTGGTAGACACATTTGAGACGCAACGCCAGAGGAACCCGACACGAAAAGATAAGAAAGAGGAACTGACGAATGCGATCTCCAGTACGGTCAACCAGCGGACCCTTCCGAGTCCATTGGTGCCCAGCCAGGGACGATTGATAAGATTTCGATACCAGTCGACAGCGCAAAAGCGAGCCCGAAGCTGTCCTCATCAGCGGATCAGGTTACTAAAGAACAGGTATCTGAGCAAATACCGTATGAGAAGCTTGTGTCCAGTACGAGTATCCTCCCTTCAACCGCAGTAGCGGTAAAGGGCGAGTCATCCAGCCCCCTTACATCAGCCGAGATGAGACTGGAAAAATCGACCGCGCCTGAAGGCATTCAGAACAATGTGCCTGAAGCGTATAGTACACAAGAGCTGGGCGATACCAGTACTGCTATCAAGGACCGAATCACAATGCCTGAGGATGAACGGTGCGCTCAGACAGTGTCTTCAGCAAATACCACCCACACAGAATCGAGCGCAAAGACCGAAGATCCAGATGAGCCGCAGTTGCCGCGATTCGTCAGTCAGGCTCCAGTACTCACAGCACACTCTGAATCAGTTGCGGAGCCATCCGTCAGAATAGATGATGTACCTGCAAAAGAGCGGATAGTCAGTACCTCGATGTCTTGGTTGGGAAAGCAGGGGAGACAATTCGTGGAGCTGCTTACCGCAATCCCGACGTCCAAGCCCACGCTGGAAGAGAATCCAGAGTACAATTTTAGCCAAACTGATAAGGTGGAATCTTCGCAGCAGTCTTCAATCGCGCCCAAGATGGTCCCAGAACTAAGCGCGTCAGTGGAGAAACCAGAGGAAGATAACAACAGGCTTAAATCCAAGATATCGGTCGAAACACAATCTCAGAATCACATGCGGTCCGAATCTGTTCCCACCATCCGTACGGAGACTTTCAAGGCTGCTGCAAAAGAAAGCCCTGTGCCTGGTGGGTGGCATCATGATTTTGATGAACCAGGACCAGTTCGGAGCCTAAGGAAAGTGCGATCCAATGATCAATTAGGCAAAGGAGACTTGCCAGTATTACAGACGGAAGACGCGAAACACAAGCGTGCCTCGTCTGTTAGCGCCATGGAAAGAAGCATATCCGACATGGGTAGCGCGCCCATTAAGAATTGGAGTGATCAGGAGTAAGTCTCTAGTTATTTGGACATCCAGACATATCGCTAATGATGCGTAGTGCGATCATAGCCGACGAGTGGTTCGAAAATCTGCGCAAGCATGCACATGGACTCTTGGACACGTACGAGAACGACTGCTACAAGGCGAAGAAAACAGAGCGGCGTGTGAAGATCGCTGTACTCGACAGTGGAGTAGCTAGGAGTCCTGCCCGGGGCCCAGTCCCGTCGCTGATGAAGGGCCCTCGAGTAAAGTTAGGAAAGCAACTGGATCCATCCCTGCCTTGGAATTATGACAGCAAAGGCCACGGAACCCATGCCGTTGGTGTGATCCTCACGGTCTGCCCGTACGCCGATGTGTATGTGTACAGGGTTTGTGAAGGTAACGAGCCGATTAACAGGACGTACGTAGCGGACTCCATCACCGACGCTGTCGAGAAGAAGAAGGTCGATATCATCAGTATGAGTTTCGGCTGGGAAGAAAACAGTGACCACAGACTTCGGGCGGCCATTGAACGTGCCAGAGCCAGCAATGTTCTACTCTTCGCAGCGAGTTCGAATGACGGTATCCGGACAAGAGCCGGCATGGCGTACCCAGCTCGGGCCTTGGAGGTCATTGCCGTCGATGCAGCAGACGTTCATGGCAACTCGTCCAAGTTCAACCCACCGCAAACAAGAGACAAAGCCAGGTTCACTGCGCTGGGTGAAGCTGTAAGATCCACTTACCCTATGCACCTTCCTTCGGAAGATGAGCCGGGTTGGAAGAGAATGGTAGGGACATCTTGCGCGACACCCATCGCTGCCGGCATCGCAGGACTAGTATTGGAGTTCGCCCGTCAGCGGCCGCTTTGCTTCGAACCTTCAATTGAAGCCTATCTCAAGTCAGTAGAGGGTATGAGGTTAATTTTGACCAAATGCTTGTCGCTCAAGTATTCGGACAGCTCACCATTCAATCTTCTTGACCCGACAATATTGTTCCGTCGAACCGAGAATTCTGATGACGGAGGTGGCTTGTCTAACTTTATGTCTCCACGGTTGAAGGCAGCGAACAACATCGTGACGAGGCTACAGGAGGAGTACTCGCGAGATATCGGAACGCAAATGTCGGAGGAGCTTGGGAAAGTGTGGGTCGGAGGCGCCTAGAGCAGGACAGAAGAAAGTAGACGTTGGTGGTTTCCGAATGGTCAGTGGAAACATTGGAAACCCTAAAAATCCTAGGGTCCAGCGCACTCAAACGCGCTAGTGCACGCTCTTGGCTCCGACATGCGTGACTTGTCTCTGTGCAAAGGTGTTGAGTTCAATTTAGAAATTGGCACTTCTTACACATATGAGGACACTGAAGCGAAGCTATCAAAGTAGCCCAAACGTATGAACACAACCGCATAATCTACCGTCTCCCATTCAACGGCCTACCTTCCCCCTCCACGCCATCTTCCTCATCGAAGTCATCCAACTCAAATTCACCCGCAGCCCTCAAGCTCTCTTCGTCCCCTTGACCTTCCCCAGCCCTTCTCATCCGCCGGATTAGGAAACGGTGTAGCACACTGCCTGTTCCTCAATGCAGGATAATACCTCCTATACGTGTAATGCGCAACCGCCATGCCCAGCACAGACCCAACACTAACATCGTATACATCGTGACGATAGTCTTCGCAGCGGGAGATAGCGATCAAGGCAGCGCCGAGGAGAGGAGTGAGAGCGAGAAGGACGCGAGCGAGATCGGCGCGAGGGCGGTAGACGTGGCATTGACCTGCGATGAAGAGAGCAAGATAGCCTAATCCACTAAAGGAGAAACTACTATGCCCACTAGGAAAACTGCGCCAGCCGTCGTGCAAAACGTGGTGATTTGTCTCGGTGCAGACCTCGAACGTGACGAGTTGGTGTGCCGGTGTACCAGGAGCGGGTTTACACCTCGCAATGAGATCTGGTCGGGGCCGTCCAACAGCGTTCTTGATCACGTCGGTAATGAACATGGTCAAGATCATGCTGATGAACCAGCCTAAGATGGTGACATGTGCTTTGTGTGTTCCGGGCGGAGGATGAGGGCCCAGGCGACGAGTGTACCAAGGGGAACTGCGCCGGCGTATATGAAGAGCCATGAGACTGGTACGCGTTCTATTTCCGCGTGTGGATAGCCGATGGCGAGGTTATCGAGGAAGAACATGCGGTGGAAGGGTTCAGCGAGGAATTGTATCTGTGCCTAGTTTGTCAGTCTTGCTGTTGCAAAACCTTGGAGATGAATTGCTTCATAGCTTACTTACCAATATGTACCCGCATATCAGTATCGCAATGCCAACATAGTCTGAAGCATAGGAGCGCTGCAGATGTCACCTGTTGTTAGTTGTCTGTTCATGAGCAATACCCATTGATGAAGTGACGGACCTGCCAGAAGCGCGCCGCAGCGCCCAGGAAGCCGGGCGAGTTCAGAAGCTCATTTGAATTGAGCCTGTGTGTTTGTGCAGGCATTGTCGCGTGGTCAGCACGCGCGCATCGTAGTCGAGGTTTAGCAAGCTGGTGCGGAGGTGTGGCTTCAACTCCGCAGATGCAGGGGAAGACGCGCTAGTGGGGGAAGCGGGCTTTCGTCACTCAGGTACTGAAGAGACATAACAATAGCCTCAGACAACCCCGAGACTCACTTGTCCCGAACTCTGCAATTGCCGTGCTGGACAATCAATGGCTGTCTATCTCTACTGCTAATGACTTCAATATGTAGACGTCAACATACCCAACCTCCCCCCATCAACCACAACCACACTCCCATTCAAATAACTCCCCGCCCGACTCGCCATCCATAATACTGCCCCCGCGATATCCTCCTCCATCCCCGCCCGCCCTGCCGGCACAACATCCCTATCCATCTTCCCACTCTGCCCCGGGTCCAACGCCCCGATAATCCCCATCGCGAGCTCAGACGGGAAAATCCCAGGTGCAAGCACATTACAACGGATGCCATACGGAACAAACGACGTAGCAAGCATCTTCGTCATATGCGTGACGGCAGCTTTACTGCTGTTATAAGCAAACGATGCGCCCGGTAAGCGCGAGAAGCCGCCGATACTCGATGTAGTTATGACTTGGGAGCGGACGTCTGCGCCCATGTTGCTCTTTGTGTTTCCGGCGTCGAGGAGGGAGAGGAAGGCGAGAGTGGTGTAGTATACAGCTGTGGTATTCACCGCATACGTGTTTGTAAATTCCTCCATGGGCGTCTCGAGGGCGTGCGCTCTGTACTCTGAAAGCGACGGAGGTGCAGAGCCGGGTGCTGCTTTAAGCGGCTTGGGACCCATGATTCCGGCATTGCAGATAAGGAGGTTGATGGAGCCGGTTTTGGTCTCGACGTGTTTTGCAATTTCGAGAAGAGACTCGCGGGATGTGACATCGCCGGGTAGTGGGATGACGATCTTAGGGTCGATGCTTTCTGCAGCTGAGCGGAGTACGTCTTCGCGGCGGCCGACGATGTATACGAGGTGGGCGCCGTTGGCTACTAGGGCCTTTGTCATCATTAGGCCGATACCTGGGGGTATCAGAATCGTTCTGTTAGATTCGGCGAGGTTGGACTACCTGATCCGCCTCCTGTGATGACGGCTACGATGCCATTGACATTGAAGAGCGTGTTAGCTGAGAGGTTTGCGGACATTTTGGAGTTATAGAAAGGCGGAGGGTCTTGCAGTTGTTCACTTACCGCGCCCTTCTTTTGATATATGGCATTGCTACGGCTCCGCCTTCCGAACTTTATGATCTTTGTACAACAAGTGCGCCTGCCATGTTCAGCTAGAGTGGTGGGTGTTGACCTCCTTCGCCAACATCTTAATGATCAAATCATATCGAGGGAACAGTGTGTAAAGGTACATGGACGTCTTACTATAGAGGAAGTGTGGGCTAGTCGAATTGTATTTATAGTCAAGGTATACTTTATAACTAGGCAGTCATTACTCGCAGCACCAACATTTGACTCGCGATATCACCAACCCCGTATAGTACATGTGTTGACCAGCTCATGTACCCAAATTAGTCTCACTTCTCCGCATGCCAGCTTTTCTTAGCAGTAACCCACTTGAAGCTTGCACACCAACCCTCCACCTCTCCACGCTCAGACCGCTCGACATAATCTCTCACTTCTCGTTGTGCCATCTCGATATCTGCTCTGAGCTCCTCAGCAGTCCAAATCCTGTTCTTACTACCCCATGTCGTCAACAACCGCAAGCAGACCGGCTCAAACATCTCCATACCCAGCACAAACATCATTTTACCAAGCGACTTTTGCGCCTCGTCCTTTGGCCATTGCCCGACCGGTACGTTGACGTGAGTCGTTTGAATGTCTTCAAATCCCGCTTCTTCGAGATAGGTGTGATGCATATAGAAGAGACCGAGCGGACGACCAGACTTGAATGACGCTTCCATGAACGCCACGTACAGTTTGCGAAGAGTAGGCATAGGTATGTTTGCTGCTGTGATCTCTCCCGGGCCTAATGGCACTTGTCCCAAATCCCAATCTGCGAGTTCAATGCACCCACCAGGGGAGAGGCTCTTGTATATCTCTGCATAGACCTCTTCCCAATGAGTAAAAGAACCCTTCATGTTCCGCAGATGTATGAGTTCGAAAGAATCGCTAAAATGCCAGCCAGGCTCAGGTTGTGGTGTGAGTGTTGAGAGATCGATAGTCAGAGACTCCTCTGGAGTACTCCACCCCCGCGATGATTGAGGTCAGCCGTTGATTTCGGTTTCCTGAGCGACTCTACAGGATTCCGATGTGCCATCTCGGTAGCCAAGTCCAGAGTAGAGAGCTGATTGATTAGCTCGTCAACATCCATCTCTTTTCCCCAGACGTCAAGATCGTCGAGTTCCCACGTCACCCTAGCATCGCCTAACGTGGCCTCGGTAGTATCGATATCCCATTCAGTCATATCAATTCCAACGACTTCCGCATGCGGGTATTGACGCGCCATGGCAACAGCCCAATGACCCGGTCCTGTACCCAAATCGAGTATCCTTCGCGTGGTGGGCAACAATCGCGCAGTGGTAAGCTTGCCATGAAGTGCTCGAACAAAGACTTCGTGTTGTAAAGATAGACGATCTTGCTCTACAAAATCGTTATGTGGCTTGTATACGCATGGTAGATAGTACGTCTCATTGCTGTACGTTCGTCCATTTTCATGGATATACTCCAGATCATCGGAGGCCAAAGTGCGGACAGAGCGACTGTCAATTTAGGTGTCAGCTTGTTCAATGTGCGATTGTTACCAATGGTTGATCATCTGCAAGGCTACAGTCGTTGTTGTTGTTGTTGTTGTTGTTGTTGTTCACTCTTGAGGCCTCCCGTTTGAATCTAGCCCAACAACCACGTCGAAATGCGGGGTGGCAAAAAGATGCAAGAGTAGAGAACAGCAACCTACTTGGACTCGATCGACGCTGTACTTTCCGAGTCAGCTCGTCGGCGTTTGAGTGGAGCTTCTGTGTGAGGGGCAACCACGCCTTCGGGTGGTGGCTGTCCCTCATCCATGGTCTCGGAAGCCGATGCAAAAGACCTAACAAAATCGTTAAGCAAGCCGAGACGAAAACGATGAGCGGATGGAAGAAGTAGAAACGCTTTGTCTTTTGAGCATGTGCTGCACTCGTAGGACCCTAGCAAACTGGTGCTAAAACCTGAGGTTCCGCATGCTAAGCGATGGTCGCTTCATGCTGGGGGGAGGGGGGCGCGTGAATACTGGGTATACGGTCCTTACATGCTGGACGTAAGCGTAAACGGGCAACTTACGGCAAGGAGATCTGCGGACGGTAGTGGAAATCACGCTATGTGTGTGACTGACTGACGCGACATTTGATGGTACGCTGCTATCGACGTAGGCGTGTGTTGGAGCGTGTTAGTAAGAGATGATCGGAACTGCCAATATCCATGGTAGCTAAGAAATTGGCCTCGACCGACGCTGATAAGATTCTGAACAGCCACATAAACGAAGTGCAGGCTCTGCTGCCCGCTGACTTCTGACCATGTTGATCTGACACAAGTCGATTACCAACCCCAGCATCAGACAGCAGGCTGTCTATGCTCGACCATCCGACCAGATGATTGACGAGCAAATGCGCTGGTGCTGAAATCGAGGCGTTGGCGACATGAATGCGTCCATTGTTATGTTACAATGCAATTTCCGGTTCGTGCTACGCGTTTGCAGGTGTTAGCGCGTAGGAACCCAGCCCCGGCTGCCGGCTTGCAGTATGTCACAAAAAGGCTGGAGCCGCAGTCCAGAGCCAACGTGAAGCGGTCTTTTGTTGATCCTGCTGAGAATAGCAGAGTCCTGAAGATGTCACCTTAGTTCTAGGGACAGAGTTCTGGCGCGGGGCTTTTTGACGGTGCGGCCATACCGTCGGAGCCAGCGGTGCGGGCGGGTCCCAGTAGATCGTCACCCAGACTGTCGGAAGTGAGTGCACCATCTTATGAGCTTTGTTGAACAAGGTGTAGTGTAGGCTTGCTCCGAGCCTGTTCGGGTTGCTTAATATTCGCACCACTCTCCTTGGTGATAATCCAGAGTCTAGTACGTGCAGGACCAAGCTCGACACATCCGAGTCATCGCTGGTTACATCTGATCCTAGGAGATGCAGCGGGTAGCCGCCCGGTGTAGAGAGAATTGATGGACCAAAACTCAGGGACGCCGAGGTGTCAGCCCCTGCTGACCGTGAGTAATTTGCAATTCTTATCTCCACAAGGTATCCTACATAGAGAAACTGATAGGCATCAGAGGGCGACCTATCGAAAGCCATTTCAGCGGTAATGCCTACGGGATGATCATGCGACATGCGAAAAAGTGGTGCCGGATATCTCGGAGCCCGGAGACATGCAACAAGGAATGAAGCTGATTCGCACGGCTCGGTCAGGCCTCCATTTCTGGTTGATGCGCAGCTGTGCCGTGTTCATATGTGCGAGACCAAGAGGTATATGAGGTGGGCGATGGTAAGCAGTATAGTGGAGCGTAGTAGAGAAGGTATGATTCGGAAGTGGCGCGAAATGCGGTGAGCACATTTGAGAAACGCACGTCTACAGCGTAGACAAATTAGACGTCACAGTGTGATACAGAGAAAGACTGAGCGACAGCATCAGCAAGCGCATCCCATAGAATACACTTGTCTTAGTTTTATTTCAACGTTGTCGTCTACTAGCAGCAGTTGTATTTGTCATGAGCATCCTCAGTGCAATCAGTCAACTTCTTGACCCTCAAATTTGGGTAACCGCGCTGCGACGTCCGACCATGTCTCCTCGCCCTTGACGATGTTGGAAATAGCCTGGGCGATCTCGTCTAAGCTTGAGCGGACCTGCTCTGTGGTGTCTCGGTCTCGGAGTGTGAAAGTGTTGTCCTTGACAGATTGGAAATCTATGGTGATGCCGAGAGGAGTACCAAGCTCATCGTTGCGCTGGGGACATGTCAGTCTTTGATCAAAATTGCTCGAGTAAAAGAAATGACTTACAGCATAACGCTTGCCGATAGATGCACCGGAAGCGTCAACACGGTTGGAGATACCAAGCTTTCGCAGCCTGTCCTTCAGCTTCCGTACAAACGGATCGAAGTCAGGATTTGAGCTGAGCGGTACGATGAGCACCTTGGTCGGTGCGACTGCTGGGGGGAAGGAGAGGACAGCACGGGCTTCGTCCTGCTCACGAGTCCAGTAAACATGTTCACATAGAGCCTAATTCAGTCAGCAAGCTACGTGACCGTCTCAACACATGGATACTTACGTAAAATATGCGGCCGATACCGAATGACGGCTCAATGACGTTTGGTGTGTATTCGCGCATGGTCTCTACGCGAGTACGCTTCTCGATGGTGATGAGGTCCTTTGGTACCTCGACCTTGCCATCACCAACTTCTGGGACGTCGATGATGATCTTGCCCTCCTTCTCTAGATCCAGAGACAGTTTCTCACGAAGGTCTTGTGACAACGCTTCGATAGCTGCTTCTACGGTCTTACCGTCCTTCTTGAACTTGGGACCAAACTTCTTCTTGTCAAGTTCACAGACAAATTCTTCGACCTTCAGAGGTTCCTTTCTCGTCTCACGGACGATCAGAGGTGCACCAGTCTTCTTCATGTGCACAGAGAGGTCGTATGCGCTTCGGTCAGCACAGCCGACACATTCAATCCAGCCGTATGATGTGAGCAGTTCAGCGTCCCAGCAGTCCGCGGCGTAATGCGCCATCTCGTTAGCCATGTGTTGCCTGAATCGAATCTTCTTTGGGTCGACACCGAGCTTGAGCAGGAACAGCTGGATACGGGCCAAGAAGTAACCCAGTGTTTCGTTATCCACGAGACCAGTCTCGACAGCCTTGCCAATCTTGGTGGTCTCAACGGTAGTCTTACCGGAGAGTTGCACATCCCGGTTGAGCAACTCAAGTTCAACGTCCTTGACCTCCTCGAACCGCGGGTGTTTCTTGCCACCTTCTGGATCGACAAAGTGCTCAATCTCGGCCATGAGGAACTCTCGCACACGTAGCAGGCCCTGTCGCGGGGAGATTTCGTTACGGAACGACTTGCCGATGGATGCAGAGGCGAAGGGCATTTGCTGCATGTTGTGGTCTAACAGCTTCTGGAAGTTGACGAACTGACCCTGGGCGGTCTCGGGACGCAGGTAGGCGGGCAGGTTGGACGAGGGGCCGATAGAAGTCTGGAACATGAGGTTGAATGCGACGGGAGGTAGTAGTTCGCCGTTGGTAGCAGGGTTCTTGATGTCGTACTTCTTCATCAACAGACCGAGCTCCTCGCCGTTGTAGTTGTCAATCTTGGCCAGGACCTCTTCAATCTCCTGGACCATGGAGTCCTCGAGCTTTACTGCAGCAATGTTCTTGACCTTCTTCTTTTCTTTTTGGGGTCTTCCTCCTCAACCTCAACTTTCTGGCCGCGTGCCTCCTTGTCGCCCTTCAGTCTAGCCTCGAGGACCTCTTCGACCAAGTGGTCGGCTCGGAAGATCTCGCCAGTCTTTGGGTCTTTGCACATCCAGTCGGCAAACTTGTCAACGTGACCAGAGGTCTTGAGAACCTCGTGTGTGGTGAGGATGGTGGGTTCGACCTTGAGCATATCCTCTTCTAGGACGAAGTGTTCGCGCCATATGTCGACAATGTTGTCGGTGAGGGCAGAGCCGGGTGGGCCGTAGTCGTAGAGACCGGCGACACCGCCGTAGATGTCGAATGAGGGAGCGTAGAAGTATTTGTGCTACAATGGCTGTTGTTAGCACGACTGTGCAGTGTTCCATCAGTCCCGCATACCTTCATGAGCTGCTCGAAAGCCGCCCTTTCAAAGGGCTTGCCCTTGTGTGTGGTGGTATCGCTAGGCATGGCGACGTTCTTGCGCTGTGGCACCTTGTATCTGGAGAATGGTGGTGTGGACGAGAAGTGCTTGGTGGGATGAGTCGGCGGAGGTGGGGCACGATATAAGGGTCTACGTAAAGAGAGGCGCGAAGCAGATTGAGGGACGCGCAGCAATGGGATTAGTCGGCGCATATACTACGTATATTCTCTTGCAACCGACAAGAGAAGATTAATGAGCGACAGGGGTCTAATATACACAGATGGACTACAAGTCTCGAGCCTGAAATGGCATGCTTCAACATGTGGAATCTCTGCCGGTGTGTGACGCGCCAAGATTGCGGAAAAGCACAGGCCGCGGCTCCACCGAAAAGTTGAGCAGCACTTGCGCTCTCCAACTACTCTACACGCGCAAGACACCCAAACCCCGTCGGCGAAAAACAGACCAGCAACGCGAATCGGTCTCAAAATGGCGTTCTCCAAGAGCCCTAATACCGCCTCGGGCCTCAAGCCTAAAAACAAACTGCGCCGACAGGCCGCATTCCTCTCCATCAAGAAGGCGCGCGAATCCGAAAAGAGAGACGCAAGACTTCGTCGCAAGCGCGAAGAAGAAAAAAATCCAGCCCTACGAGAAGAAAGATTAGCACAAAACAAGCCTGCGACTATCGACGGCAAGCGTGTGTGGGATGAACCCGTCGGTGACGAAGAGGATGCGCTGGGGTGGGCGATAGACGTAGAAAGACTTGCGAAGAGGAGGAAGGTGGAGCAAGAGGAGACTGCACAGAAGGAGGGTGAAGACGGCGAAGAAGAGGGCATACTGGCGAAATTGAAGAAGCGCGATCAAGCGACGGAGGGAGATAGCGACGATGAGGACATGGACGACGAAGCAGACAGCATGCTTGACGAATCTGAGCCTGAATCTGAGCTTGACTCCGACGATTCGGACTTGGATTCGGACGCCGCCTCGTCCAAGCCCGGAAAACGCGCCTCCAGTCCCAGCGCCACATCCACCGCAACAAACCTTGAGCTATCACCCGAGTTCCTGAAGCAAAAGTTCCCATCCATATTCAACCCTCGTACCGACGACCCACAGATTCTGATCACAACGAGCATCAACTCGACGCTCCACAAAGAAGCCGAAATCCTCACTTCGCTCTTCCCCAACAGCACCTACATAAGACGGACGCAGCACGTACACGCACACAAGTATAGCGTCAAGGAGATTGCAGGTTTCGCCAGCGCAAGAGGATACACAGCGCTTGTCATCCTAATGCAAGCCGAACACGAGAAGAAGCCCGACGGGTTGGACATTGTCACCCTTCCCGACGGACCGCATTTCCATTTTTCTCTTACAAATTGGGTCGAGGGAAAGAAGCTACCCCGACATGCGAACGACACGGGACACTACCCTGAGCTGATCCTAAACCAATTCAAGACACCACTCGGTATCCTCACAGCACATCTGTTCCAGAACATGTTCCCAGCGAAACCCGAATTAGAGGGCCGTCAAGTCCTCACATTACACAATCAGCGCGATTACATCTTCGTGCGAAGGCATCGCTACGTCTTCCGTGATAAGCGAGAGAGCGAGAAACCCATCTTGGGATCTGATGGCAAGCCACTACCAGGCGTCGAGGATGTCAAAGTGGGTATGCAAGAGATTGGGTAAGTCTTATCATTGCGTATGATGAGTATAGAGTAAACAGCTAACGATGGATACATACAGACCCAGAATGACACTCAAACTCCGCAGAATAGATCGCGGAATCCAGTTCAAGAGCGGCCAGGAATGGCAGTGGAAGGGACGTATGGAGAAGAAGAGGACGAGGTTCAACATGTAGATGCCTCGCGGGTCTGCAGAAGAATCTTCGAAACAGCCTTCTTGCTTTGTGCAAGCGAATACAATACTACACTTTGCACAAATTGTGTTCCATACTTCTGTCAACACAATAGCTGAAACCAAAAGACTGAGGACGCCACTTTAATCTATGCACAAGTGATACATGAATGCAATGATGATTTTGACCATACTAACACGTATGATCCACACTCGCAGTACACTAACCCCGGGTATCGTACAATACTATCCTACGCCAGCCTGTCCGAGTCCTTTCCTTCAGATCGTCCCAAGACGCTGATAATCACTTTTACATTGTGACCAGTCCCAAATGTTCAAGCAGCTTATGGCGCGTTCCCATCGTCGTCACCACCTCGGTAGCCGGTATACCAATTGTTGTCATAACCACCGTAGTAATGATTGCCATAAGCAGGGTGATACGGATATTTGGGATGCGGACCCCTAAATGGCTGTGGCTGATTGGGATACTACACCCCTTTGTTATAATAGCCACCATTCTACTTGTTGCCATATCCGCCATATGCTCCTGGTGTCATCATGCCTGTCGGTCCAGGGGTATTTGATGCGAGACCAGCTGGGTGGTTTGTGGGCGTACTCGGTCCGTCGACACCATGCCTTGCGTTGCCGGGATAGAAAGTGTTGTTGACACCTTGCTGGAAGCCTGTCAGACCCTGTGAAGCACCCTGTGCGGCGAGAACAGCAGCCTGCGCCGTCGCACTGGCTGGCGGTCCAACGCCGGTAAGACCCCACATGTGGCCGCTCATCTCGTCAGGAACTATTCCGTCAAAGATCTTCTTCTTCATCTCCCAAAAGACCACACCTGTTAGCCATGCGTCGGAGCCTGCTGTATGTGAGTTGCCTACGCGTTGGCAGCCGAGTTCATCGGCGAGGTCTTGGAGGCCTGATTTTGTGCCCAGGTTATTGAGTATGTTGGTCGCAGTTGATCCGATAACACCGCGCCTGACGAGATTATTTGCATGCCGCCAGAGGTATTTGACATCCAGTAACTTGGGGAAGAAGACATTGACGAGCTTGCGGTATGTGTCCTCGTCTTCGGGTAGTGATTTCGAGGTGAGCATCTTCAGCATGTATGCGAAATCGTAGCCAGAGTGAAACGATATCCAGTTGACGTCCTCCGATAGAGTCATTCCGGATGTTGTGAGTAGTGAGCCAAACTCTTGAGGGTCAATGCCTTGATCCCTATGCTTTTCGAAATCGGCGCCAGATTTCTTAAGCATCTGTATTGACTCCTCGTTGTACATGTCGTCTTCGAGCGAGAATTGGAAGTTGAATGACCATGTGCATGGGCAGACGATGATGTTGTTCGCATATCGTTGTATCGACTTTGGCTTGTAGTTCAGTTCTGAGACGTCAAGATGCGATGGCGGGATGTCGCCTTGTACATTGAAGAGGGTGACGCCGAGTTGAATAATTTTAAGCAAGTCAACGTTGCAGCGCACTGTCTGGTAATGATAGGAGGCTTTCGAGTTGAAGTCTCCGATAGGTCGCGCGACAACACCGGGGAACTCGGTGTCCTGTTCATCAAGTAAGCGCGACGTTCAGAAAAGAGAGGGAGAGGTAGAATGGAACTACTTCAAGACCAGGAAAAGAAGCCATTGTGCCAGGCTTGGCGACAGACTTTACACGTATCAGACAGGGCTCTCATACAAGAGCTGTCCGACCGACTTGTAGGAGAGTGGCATACTGACCATACTGATATAGGGGTACTGATCGATGAGCGAGCGCAACATATCCATCTCCTGGTGTAGGTTCGACCGCCAGACTTCCCGTATCCGCTGCCCTGCAATGCCTTTGGCGCCATCTTGACCACGAGCAGCATTCTCTTGTATCTGTGCGCCATGAGCAAACCGCATACGCGCTTCATGCCCGTCGAGTCCTGTCCCTCCGCCTGCCCCGCCAATCGCGGCTGCTGCTCCAAGACCTGCTCCCCCCAATCCACCGCCTAGCGCTGCATTTGATTGGAAGCCGCCCTGATGTTGGCTGAAGAGGTTTAGATTGTGGGCTTGGTTGCCGCCGCCGAAACCTGGATGTTGTATGCTCTGCTGCTGGTGTTGCTGGTGCAGTGGTTGTTGCTGCTGTGGTATTGGGCCTGAGAGATGTGCGAAAGGGTTCGAGAGGTTGTGGCCGGGAAATCGGCCCCCGTGAGGCGGCATCGTGAAGCTGTTCTAGTGATTGAGGCGATTCGCGTGTCCGTGGGGTTGAACGACTTCGTGATTGTTCGTGGTGTTGACGAAACGACAAAGAATCCTGGATGCTCAGATGAAGCTTGCCACAGTCTTGGAGTATCTCAGAATTATTCGAGCGCGTCCGGAGTGGTGATAACGATGGGTTGCGGGAGTTGTATGAGTGGTGTGGGGAGAGCGACCGCAGTTACGTGTGTAGGCCGTGCGCGATGATCGCTCGCCAAGATATCGAGAGATGCGACTGACGAAGGTCCAGGAACGAACAACGTCAGCTCCTCCAAACGCCTTGACTCGCATCAGCTGCTCACGAGGCCGATAAAGTACGCATTCAATCCTCTCGTGCTTGGTTGATTGGCTGTTTCTCACGCGCAACAATTGCTGACTACTCCAGCTCCATCACCATGGCACCACGCCCCTCCATCACCGGTTTCGATCCCAAGAAGTTCGCCGCTGCCTCCGCAAACGGCACAAAGGGTGACCCATGGGCACGATAGTACGCTTCAAACCACGAGCTGGCCTGAGACCGCACATACTTACCTCTGCAGTGAGCAATGGCGATACACCGGACCCTTCACCCGCTTCAACCGCTTCAAGGGCTCCTTCCCTGGCCTCGGAATAGCCACCGTCGCATTCGCTGGATATCTTGTTGCCGAGCAACTGTTCTTCGATGACAAGGGTGGTCACCATGATGAGACAATTTAGGAGTTGCCAGTAAGAGGAAGCGCATGCAGAACAAGGGCGTACCGGTTGATTCAGGCTTCGTTACTGCGGGATTGTACATATGGAATACCACACAGAACGAGCAAACAAAACTATCATGATTCACGGTTTCCCCTCGTATGCTGCTGAGTTGCTGAGGAAGATCAAAGAACGACGACAACGAGGTTTGGCTCTTCGTGTCTAATTATCCAGACTCGTTAACAGAAGACAATTCACTTAGGGGAGGATTATATGAAGCAAAACGCGTCAACTATAGAATTTTGACTATGTCCTGCAGCTATGGTCAAGCCTGCAAAAGCGTACCTTCAATTAGCTAATCTATAAGGCTAGGACAACGCGCCTGTCAAAGCAGGAGCTACGTAGAGTTATCATGGCCATGTACCCTTACCTATGCCCTACTAATCGGCAGTTTCTGGCGCTCATCCACTCGGCTTTTTCTTCCTTGTCGAATGATGATTAATGTCCACCAGCATATCACTTCCTCTTTCCATTGCAACAGGCGGGCTTTCCTTAACGCGGAACTCGTCTTCTTCCTTGCGATAGGAGAAATCATGTACTGTGCACTGATGCTCTAATTGTGAATCCCGAAGTTTCCCCAACGAACACGTCAGCCTTATTGTCCGCCTTATGCCCGCGCTCGGTATTCGAAGATCATCAACCTTGGTGCGGAGGATTGTCAGTGCGAAGACACGATTGCCTCATTCATCTTTGCGCATACCAAGGCGATAACTAACGCCAATAACGGACGAGCCCATCTTTCCTCGGTCTGACTGTCCCAACAAGAAGATGTTGGTCGTCGGCTCCTTCTCCACATCACAGAACCCCTCAACTCCTTGACGGAGGTGAGCAACAACAACGCGCAGCGTATGCACGGAAATGACAGGCAACCAACTGAAAAGTGCCGTATTACTGCCTATGTCATGGGCTAGACCCAGCAATGCCTCCAGATCTGGATCTCTGGATCTTGAAGTATATCGACCCGTTACCGTAAAACGCCCTGGTCTCAAACTCACCACGAACTGGGGATACGGGGAAGACACGCGTTCCAGAATGTTTCGATCAACGATACAAATGGAGGACAGACCACCATCCAGTCGGTGTAATCGACGGCCTGTCTTCGGACAGGCAGACCCCGCATTGTGTACGTTTTCACCTGCCTTCACTGATACTTTCGGCATTGAGAACGGCTTCATGTAGCCGTTTATCGATTCCGGTAATGTTTTAGTCGTAGATCTGCCTATCTAGGGGGCAAATCGTTTCCGGAAGTATGTTGCAGAAGTTTGGTTAAAAAAACGTTGCTTGGATGTACAAGGGTTGACAGGGCAGACGCGTATACTGAATGTACAAGACGCATGATGCTAGAGGAGAAGGTATTCGGTAGGTATTCGGCAGGTGTACACTATAGCTGTTCATTGCTTGGTTTGGCTACTCACAGTTTATATGGTACATGTCCGTACATCATGCTCTTGAACTGTCAGACCACATCGTCAACGTGAGACATACTTCATTGTATCATCTAGACTGGTTGTCTGACCACTAACAGCCAACGACGAAACAGTCTGTTGAAAATCTGCCTTACTCTCCGCGAACGTCTATTGGTAATCAGTAGTCTAGATCTATCTCGTATGAGTATTATTTCGGTAGTGAGAGTGATTCCAGACGCCACCATCGCTTATGTAAAAAATGTTGTCTAACGTTAGTGACATGAGAGAGACCAAAGTTGGATATCCGAGCTGCCCACCGATCATATACTCCTTTTCTTTTCACAAGTCGAAGTGTGGTCTGGACCTTGTACCTGCAGGATGAGATTGCCATCGTGCATATTGCGAGGCCTTGCGTAAATCGCAAACGAAATGACACTTGCATGGTGGCTTGATGTAAGTATTTGCTTTTTGCGGTCGCACTGGCCAACGGTAGTTGTAGGTCTTTTGGGTGATATGGTATCCGTCCTTACGGAAAAACACAATTTCTGACCCGGCGTGGCAGTTGGTACAAATTGCGTACCCTACATACATTGCAGTTCTCAAGTGTGGTACGGTTGTAATGAAGACGACGTCAT